CCTCCCTCCCTCCCTCTCCTTTTGCTGGGATTGCTTCCTGTGAAGTTCCCAAGCTGAAGTGGCTTCTGGATCAGGGGAGCTCCGGAGCCAGCATGAGGGACAGGGAAGGACCATGTGGTCCTGAGAAAGGAAGAGAGAGACACTGCTGCTGGTGATGGCAGCAAACTGTCAGACAGGAGGATGTGTCCAAGCCAACCTCTGCCAGTAGCTGCTGCCATTGAGGACATTGATTTTGAGGGGAAAATGAGCTAAAAATGCTGCAAAATGAGATCTGATTTAGAAAACTGTACATTAAAAAGATATATGGCTAGAGCTACCAGGTTCTTTATCTAACTCTGTGATGACACTGAAAAGAGAAACAGCAGTTTCACCTCTGTGATCTTTGAGGTGGCAAGCTGCTTTTAAGTGCCTGCAAAAATCAAAAATGAAGTTCAGTTGCTTCAGTTACTGTAAAATCTTTGGGAACCTCTCAAGCCACTTCAGGTGCCTTTGTAACTTTCTTCTCTTGTTCTGCTGGCATCGCCTTCTGTGTTTGAACTTTGCTTTGCTACTTAGATTTGAGTTATCTGCTCTGGACAGAAAATGTATTTCAGCTTACTTGAGTATATTTGTTGTCTTGTAAGAAGGACTGAATTCAGAATAGCTGTTCTGGATGTCTGTTAAAGAGCTATTGAAGAGCAGTGGGTGTGACCAGTTACATTTCACCCCCACACTAAAGCCACTGCATTACTGATTGTTTTAAGCCAGCAGGCTTTATCTATCTTGCCCAACTATTCTCTTCCTTCCAATTGCCTACTTTCTGGTAAACTCGTTGCAAACAGAGGAGGCAGCAGTCATTTGCAAGTTTAGGTGGAGCAGATCTCATAAACAGGTGTATGACATTAGCTGGTATCTTCTGGAATTGCATGGTTCACATTTTGTATCACCTGTCAGTAAGGCTGTTAATTCTCTCTGCTGATTTTTTGTGCCTTTATGGAAAGAGCAGCCTTCTCCAAGGACTCCTACACTAAAATGTATGGTTTTTTTTGTTTCCTAAACTTGTCTAGTAGACTAAATGTGACTGGATTAAATGAAGAGGAATGACTAAAATCCTCCTCAGAAAATACTTTGGACTAGTGTAACTGTAGGGTAGATAGGAAATGAATCCACTGTTAGTCCTGCAGTGTATGGGGAGGAATTCCTTTAGGGATAAAGTAGCAGGCTGGGGCCTTGGAGGGCATATGAGGTAGGTGAAAAGGAGGAGAAGGAAATGAATATTAATTTCCCAAACAGCAAGAAAAAAAATCCTTCCCCATGACCTGACCGTGGTTGTGTATGGGCAGTAAACAGCTTATGTTGGAAATGTTTCTATAAGGGGGCTTAGTTTCTGTCATCTCTATGCCCCAGTTTTTCTGAAAGCAGAAAGGCTGGAGAAACAAGGTTTGCTTTTGATTTTGGGGAAGCAGAGTTGCCTCCTTCATAACATTTGTCAGTAAGCTAAGATCTCAGAAGGAAAACAATATTTGTTTGTAACAGTTTATTATAATGTATTGATTTAATTGCTACTTCAGGACTAATGTGTCCACATACAGGTTCTGCTCCAGCAGAATATTCAAGGCCAAGGAGATGTGATATGGAGACTGCTGGGTTCTCCGTGTATGATTTGTATAGATGTTTTAGATCCATGTTGAGTCTCTGGAAACCCAGGTTTTCTACATTTAAAAAACAGCTTGAAGTCAAAATGACCTGTGTTGAATATGTATTTGATGAGGTAAACTGGAGGAAGTCACACAGAATCAAGAAACGCAAGTTCCACATTCTCAGACAGTGTATTTCAGCTCTTTAGCTGTCACTTGCCAAGACTGCAACTAATTGAGAAGAGAATAAAATACTGCAGCAATTTCCAATACTAATGAATATTGCAATAATTTAATATTAAAGAATTTAAAACTTGAGTTGTTTTCTTCTGTGTGGCACTGGGGCAGAAGCTGTGGTAGTAATTCAACGTATTCACCCACTGGGTACTCACAGGGAATAAGGAGAATATACCTTTGCACAGAAAACCACAGGGATGGGTAGTTTCCTTCAAATTATTTTAGGCATGATTCATTTCTGCAAATGTAATATTGCATCCTTCTTTTCCTTAAATTCTACATCATTTTATGGATACGTGAGAAAATGTGGATCAATTTTACAGCTATCAGCAACTGTTCTCAAGGAGAATGCCACAACAATTTAATGAGGTATGTAAGAACCTGTAACCACTGATGAACAGTGTCCAGGAAGATTCTTCCTGCAGTTCTGCTCTGGCCCATCTTCTTCACTCCTCCTTCACAGTAATCCTTTTACTATAACACCTCTAAAATTTGTGAGAGGTGGTAAAAATGTTGTTTGTTAAGTAAATCCTCAAGTTAAGCCACTCTTCAAATTGCTTATATAGCATGAATTTGCTGGACAGCCAAGTCGTGATTGTGAGACCTGATCCTAAATATAGTGGGAGAAGCTGAGGAGAAAACCTGGTGCTTTTCTGGGGATTATACGGACAGTACACACCATGGAATGGGCACAGTGTGTCCTGTGGTCCCAGGAGCTCCTCAACCTTTAGTAATTTTAGGTGAAAATGAGGTAAGTAAATTTTTCTGTCTGGAACAAAACAGTCATCATGGATTTTCAGGTAGGCAAATTTACCTATTTTATTCTCTACACCACCTTTGTCTAAAGGAACTGCATTTTGAATCTATTAGCACTAAAGTATTTTCCTTCATGTACTTGGACACAAGGGGAGTGTAACATCCTGAACTACATCTGATTTGGATTATTTTTTTCTTGTCTTGTGTATTGCCTCAAGGCTGCTCCCCATGTTTGCTAGGCAGGTGCTCCTTCACTTACAAACTGCTGCATTTTGGAGTCTAATAATCCCTTTCTATGTGTGGAAACTCCTATCTTGACACTCCCATCTTGACAACTCCCCCCCAAAAACCCTAGGTGGAAAATACATTAATTAGAGGCCTTCATTTTATATTGTTTTAGGAAATATTTATTTACATTTATATATAAAAGAGAAAGAAGAGAACATGACTTATTTTTCTTTGTCTGCTGCCAACCTGTTCCTGATAATTTACCTAGATAATCTTCATTCCATTTGGTTATCTGACAGGTAAAATCTTTAAATCATTCTAAATTTTTCTTGACTGAAGGGTTTTGTTTATATTACCCAAAATAGCTGTGGCTCCAAACTGAGTGAAGATCGGAATGGAGAGATACAATCCACAGGTGACCCCTTCATGCTACTCCCAATGTGTGTTTGGTTCCCAGGTATTTTGAGTAAAAGACTTACAGATTGCTCAGGGGCTACATCAGGATGTGAGGGGAATGCAGCCCTTTTATGTGCAAAAATCTAAGGTGCACTTCTGTAGTGTTCAGCAGAAAACCTTTACTATTTGTCCCATTAGACCTGAAGGTGGCAGGGAATATGCCCTTGTCCTTAAACAGACATAAATAGGATTACATAGACACGGGTCACACTCCATATAAGAACTAATCATCAAAAAGCTCTGGCATTCAAATCCCCTCCAGCTTGTATAAAGCTTTATCTGTTAAAACAAAAGGAAATTCAAATTAAAAGCAGCAGTGTTTGGACCTGCAAAATAGTAATGTGAGGAGACAAGGAGGCTCAAGGAAAGCACAGAGAAACAAGGTAGAGACAAATTTGATACTGAGAAAAATTTCATTAGGGAAAAGTAATTATAGGAAGGGCTGACTGAGTTACAATGATATTACCTTGGTCTGGTTCTGGCTGTGCTTGCAGAGAAGATGTTGATAGCAAAGAGAGCAGAGCTGTTTCAGCTCCTAATTCTGACAAGTGGCTTTGGAAAGTTGTGTAGACTTGAAGGTGTTTTGGTGCCCAAAATGCAAGAAAGAGTAACGTGAGGCTTTATCCAAGCAAATTTCTAAACATATTAATTTCTCTTGAGTAAATTAAATTAATGCTCAGCAACTAATAGTGGATCTTGAAAGACCTTGCAATGTATAACTGAGAAATGGACCTTGCTGTCTGTGTTCAGGTTTTATGAGTTTTTCTGTTGCTTTGGTTTTATGTTTGTTTGGTTTGGTTTTGTGTGATTGTTTGGTAAATGCTAACTCAATGTGCTGGTTTTGGCTAGGGTAGAGCTATTTTTCTTCATAGCATCTAGCATGGGCTATGCTTTAAATTTGTGCTGCAGAAGTGACATCTTGAAGCATCAGTGGCTGTGCATTGCAACGTTAAACCATAAATCCTCACTCAAAAGGATCAGGAGTGGAGATGGTTGTGGAAATGCCTTTAAATTGTTGTAATCTGTGACTGGAGTTGCACATTCTGGGGGTTTATACAGCAGGAGCCACCAGAAGCAGTGGAGGACAATCCTTAAAACTGCAGCAGACACCCAACCTGAGGTGCCTTTGGTGTCTGGTAACTCCTCACAGCACAGCACCTCTCATGTCCTGAGCACCATACCAGATGGAGCACAAAATCATGGGCTGAATGAACCTATTGGGCATTTTGTGGATGCCTGTGATCTTTTACAGGACATTTTACAGTCATTTCACAGGGGTGGTCCATAGACAAAGGGAATGTTATCTATTAAATATATCAAACAGTGCAAATGAGGCTGGTGGGTGAGCATGGTGTGTAGGACCTGAGCATGCTGTAAATGGCATGGGATAAGAAGTAGAGATTGTGCTGGTTTGGGCTAGGGTGGAGTTAGTTTCCTCCATAGTAGCTAATATGGGGCTGTGTTTTGGATTTATGCTGGAAACAGTATTGATAACAGAGGGATGATTTTATTCCCACTGGACAGTGCTTACACAGAGTCCAGACTTCTCAACACCCCACCAGTGAGGAAACTGGGGCTGCACAGGAAGCTGGGAAGGGACACAGCCAGGACAGCTGACCTCAGCTCACTAAAGTTATATTCCAGACCACAGGGTGTCATGCTTAGCATATAAAACTGGGCAAAGAAGGAGAAAACAGGGGGACATTTGGAATGATGGCATGTGTCCTCTCCAGTCACCGTTAGATGTGATGTAGCCCTCCTTTCCTGCCTGCCCATGGGAAGTGATGAATGAATTCCTTGTCTTGCTTTGCTTGTGTGGGACAATTTTGCCTTACTTATTTTTTTTAAAACTGTTTTTATCTCAACCCACAAGTTTTCTCACTCTACTCTTTCAATTCTCTCCCCCATCTCACCGAGGGGAAGTGTGTGAGTGGTCGTGTGGTGCTTAGTTGCAGGCTGCGATTAAACCAAAATGTGCAGTAAAACAAAGATATTATCCCAAATAGGTTCCAGTTAATTTGCTTTTCTTAAAAATGAACATAGTTACATTAAAGAAAAATACCCCCTGCCTTGTCTGTGTTTGTGCATCTGGTATTTAAAAAACAACGCCAAAGGAATTTATTTATTGTGCTGCCCAGAATGTCTAAGATGAGTACATTTTTGCTTCAGAACAAATGGTAATTATGTTTCACATTTTCCTCTGACAAAGATATAAAAAGTTTCATTTAGCCTTTTTAAAACCTCAGTGTTTGGTGCCAGAAATTGCTGGCTAATTAACCTTCAGATTTCTGTGCTACAAATGAGAATGCTTGGCTTATAAAATGATTCCATCATGTAAGAGCCTTAACTGCAGTGAACGACAAATTCAGAGGCTTGTTATGTCAGAAAGGAGGAGGAGGAACTTCTGTTTAGGTCTTGCCTTCAGAGGGAAAGGAAACACTGATAGTATCCCTGTAACCTTGCACTGATGAGCAGGCACCACATTGCTTTGGAAAGATTCATATTTGAGATCTGATGACTAAGTGGTGGTGGGCACAGCTGCTTTAGAATCAGAGATAAAGGAAAGAAGGAAAACAAATCCAGAATTGCTATGAGAAAATCTGGCTGACATGTAATGCTGTCAGAGCATTTATAAAGAGCAGAAACCCTATTCAGTGTCAATCAGGTACGTGCTATATTGAATGGAATATTTATTATTGTAAATGTTGCCAAAGGTCTGCAATTGATAGTCTCTGGATTTATGAACAGTAGCCTCTATAAGAGAAATAAGATAGTTAAATTATAGAGAGTATTAATTTTGGTTCCAGTGTAAATTTGTTCTTAAAGTCTATTAGTTTATGCAGATTAAGTGATCTTCCAATAGGCTTGGGGTTTTTAAATAATTGTGGATACAGAGAAAATTATGGAAGTTTGCTATATTTTAGGTCTTTGGTTTAAGAATCTTATTAGAATAGGATTGCTGCACTGAGAGCAGGAGAATTTTGGAACATACATTAGGAAATTGGTGTTTTAAGGTTCTTGGGAAATTCCACAGATAAATATGATAATAAAAGGTAAATGCCTCCTCCAAGCATCATAGTAATTGGTATAACCTGATCCAAACTAAACTGGGGTTACTGAAGGTCTCTTGACTTGAATTTTGAAATTCCAAATCTCTTAGTGATAAATGTCTCAGGTTTTGTTTTTACAGTTGTGAAGTAGTTTTCTCATTGAAGTCGGTGATACAGATTTACACTCTTTTAATAAGAACTGGGTTTTTAGGTCTGCTTTTGGCACCGCTAAAAGGTTTATTTAACAATAACTAAAGATTGGACAGCGCATGTGTAAATCTTCATCAAACCCATCAGAACCTTTGCCTGAATGCTTGTAAAAAACTTTTGGCTAGCAATGGTAAGAATGATCTGGTCTTTAATCTTGGATGCTTTATAACCAAGGTTTTATTAGAGAAAATAAATTTCAGCCTGGAGAGAGGATGGGATAAACAGCAAATTGTGCAATTTATACCTTGGAATGGTTGGTAAATGTGCTGTTTCTTTCTGGGAAAGGGTTCAGCCTTGTCAAACAGAGAATGATGCACAATTATCATTTGTGTGTAGAGAAAGTTTTGATATGATTATGGGTGGCATGAGAAAGTGCTTTTGAACAAAAAGTCATTTACCATTTGCTTCTGATGTGCTCAGTGTTACCAGCAATGTGTTTCCTCATCCATACCCTTGAAATTCCTTGCTCATCTGTTGTCCGCACATGAGGGAGAGAATTCTAAGACTGGTGTTTTTACTGAAGCAGCAAATACATGTTGTATTTCTGATTTAAAGCTTTAGAACTTTTATTTGGTATTTGAGAACTTTATTAAAATTCTTCTTTCTGTTTGTGAACCAAGTTCAAGCACTCCTCTGTGGCTGTCCTCCTTTTTGTTTTCTTTTCTGAACTTTCCTGTACCTTTTAAAATAAGATGTAACTTGTATTTTGCAGACACAGTGACTGTAACACAGTGTTAGTGGAAGACAGCTGTAGTGTCTTCCTTGTCAGGCTGGCAACTCTGTGTGTGAGTGAACAGCTCAGCTTCCTCAGGCTTTCAAAGGAGAAATAACAATAAAAATTTTGGACCTGAAGGAATGGAATGGAAGCAAGTCTGATGTTTCTTTGCAGTTTATCTCTTCAGTGCTGTAAATGAGCACCATTAAATGGAGCTTCAAGTATTGCTGGAGAAAGTGGAAACTATTTTATATCCTTGAGAATTTTTTTGGCTGATAGTCTGAAAAGCTTTATATATCGCAGGAAGAAAATGCTCATAGTTTTAGAGGT